AGAGTTGGGGTGAAAAGCCCCATGAACATGGGCTGGCATAACCTGTGGGCTGGACAGCCCTATCATAACATGGGCTGGACAGCCCCATCATAATATGGGCTGGACAGCCCTATCATAACATGGGCTGGACAGCCACATCATAACATATGGGCTGGACAGACCCATCATAACATGAGCTGAACAGCCCCATCATAACATGGGCTGGACAGCCACATCACATGCAACATGGGCTGGACAGCCCCACCACATACTCATCTCATAATTTTCTTTTGAAAAACAAAATTTTCTATTGAATTTTCATTTCAGTTTCTATTGAAAAAACAAACTTTTCTATTGAAATTTCACTTGAATTTTCTATTGAAAAAACAACATTTTCTATTGAATTTTCACTTGAATTTTGCACTTGAAAAAAAACAAAAAACGATTGAATTTTTGCAGTTTTCAAGTGGCGATTGAAAAAATCAAGTGCGATTGAATTTTTTCAAGTGAGGATGCTCTGGGTAGGCTCGATTTTAGACGACATCACCCCATAGTAGGATCCAAGCGCTGCTGCCTCTGTGTCGTGAGAGAGCTGAAGCAAGAGCCAAAAGACCTCCGCTTGACGCGACAATGAGAGATTTAACCACTGAACATGGAGACAAAGGGGATAAAACTGACCATGAAACATGATGGTATAACGGGGTATGATGATAATGGAAAATGGATATAATGGGATGTGTTTGTATATTAAAAAACGCTATGATCCATGATAACGGAGGATTTGTTCCAGGTAAACTAAGATAGCTATGGAAACATGGCCGATAGAAATGGATGATTTGCCATGATTTGCCTAAAAAATGGTGATTTCCATGGCTATGTTAAAAATTAGGACATAGTGTGTGTGTGTATATATATATAAATACAAATCATTTTGTGGGGGCACAAATGGCAAGTCTAACTGGAAAAATGCTCATTCACCCATGGATGTAAGATCACCCTATCTCAAGACAGACGAAGTTGGAGTTCAACGGCTCAAAAAAAGAAGTGTACATAGGAGATATTGGCAGTGGGATCAAATCTACACTAAAATAATACCAAACTTGAAAACCTGACCCACTGGAGTTAAAATAAGATTTTTGTCTGTCTGCACAAAAAATCGGATTCATCTAGGCCACTCTGTCCCTGATATCTATGATATTGGAAAAACTTGAGCTGACCCCGGCTGACCCAAGATTTCTTGCGTTATGCCTGATATACTGGTGATACAAGCTGTTAATTTCCAAATGACGCCCCAACAAAAACGGCTCAGTCTGCTGTTAATTCCCTGGTCTTTCAATGTCTCCAACATCGTCAGAAAGTGATGAGGTCCGTCTTCCACTCCAAGTGGAATTTATAGGGCTGCAAAAATGAGACAAAACCCCAAAACACTCATCGGATTACTGTTTTGAGTTTAGATGATTTCAAGGCTGATTATAGATATAAGAAAGGCTGATTATAGATATAAGAAAGAGTAAACCAGGTAAGCCAAACAAAAACTAATGGTTGAACCATTTTTCCCACAGTTGTGGCCCTATAGCCAGTTCTTCTACATGAGATGAGATAACTCCTGCAACTTGTTGGTTATGTATATATATATATAAATCAATATCACTTCCGTGAGGTTATAAAACAACCATTTGTAACTTGTATCATGGATGTTCCCATGATTTTCCTATGAAAAACTGCGAAATGTGTCAGAACTGCGACACCAAGGCGCTACCGCGACAGCACCCACAGACATGGAACTGGTCATGGAGAGCCAACGTTGATCCTCGGGAACGATATGCCATCGGGCAATGGGTGGTTCAAAAATGGGGAATTCATCATGACAAACATATGATTTACTGGGATTTAAGCAGCAAAAATGCTGGTTATATCGGATTTAAGCAGCAAAAATGGTGGTTATATCGGATTTAAGCAGCAAAAATGGTGGTTATATCGGATTTAAGCAGCAAAAATGGTGATTATATCGGATTTAACCATCAAAACTTGTGATTTAATGGGATATAGCTAAGAGAATTGCGGCTAATCTCTTGATGAAATCACATATCTTGGATCATAGAATGGGTGGGTTTAATAGGTTTAATATTAGGGCAATAGGATTATTCCACCAAAAAGGGAAGATAAAACAACCTTCACTGAAACATACAGGTTATATGGTGTGTTTTTCACGGTGCAACAAGAAAAACAACAGATGGGGACAACGGGATACGCCATGGGATTTGGGCTTCCCGATGTTCAAAGAAAGCAAAATTTGTCTATTTATGTATGAGCATGAGCATATCATGTATATATGTTTACACATAGTCACATAGTCATATTTTTCAAGTTGTCTATGAGATTGTATGGGTCATTGACTCTTGCAAAATATACATTTAGTGTAAGGATATTCCTCTATGCAAAAGATCGGTTTTATTGGCCTTTCAAGGTGGATGGAGTCGAAGTAATATCAAAACAACAGCAAGTCTAGGCACCCGTTTCAGGATCATGGAGAATATCAAATACGCAAAATAAAACAAAAAACGCTCACTAAAAGGAACATATGTTTGGACATGAAAATAACTAAATATATTCCTAGATATGTATGCCTAGAGAGGAAAAATACCTGGCCGGAAGATTGCAAGGTTTTCTACAAATCTTCGGTTGAGAGTTGGATTACCAAAGATATCTTCCAAGACTTGGGATTCAAGAGCTTCTTGTGTTTGAAAATCACACTTCCAAAGGCCGGTAAACAACTCTGAAGCATCTTCCCTATCGTGCACACAAACCATCGCCAGCCGGATAGTGTTTCTTCCTCTGCGGCACAACCGCAAGCCATATCAAACCATATAAACTTTACCCAGTGATTAACCCATGATAAAATGGTGTACCACCAGTCATTTCCTCCATTTTTCCTCATGAGATACCATATTTCTTGTTGGTGATATAAAATATATATATAATACCAGTACAATATGTATCTATATATATATATATAATGAATGTATGTATGTATGTATGCATGTATGTATGTATGTATGTATGTATGTATGCATGTATGCATGCATGCATGTATGTATGTATGTATATATAATGAATGTATATATATATATATATGACCCTTTAATCACATTTTTCCGTCCCCGTGATCATGTGGCTTAAATTTCCAATAACCGGTTGGTTGGCAATGGTTTACACCTGTTTAGTATTTGTTGTTCAGAAATCCAGTATACTTCAACAGTTACTTGGAAAAGCAACAAAGCAAAATGCTAATTATTCTTTTAAAAAAACACGATTAAAAAAATACTTTACTTCGTGTGATCCCCACCATGACATTTATCGATTTATTACTGGCAAATCTTCTGGCATTCTATCTGACATATCTTCTGGCATTCGATCTGGCATTCTATCTGGCATATCTTCTGGCATTCTACCTGGCATATCTTCTGGCACATGTTCTGGCATATCTTCTAGCATTCTATCTGGCATTCTATCTGGCATATCTTCTGGCATATCTTCTGACATCCTATCTGGCATTCTATCTGGCAAATCTTCTGGCAGGCAAACATTCTGGCACTTTATCTGGCATACCTTCTGGCATTCTATCTGACATTCTATCTGGCATACCTTCTGGCATTCTATCTGGCAAACATTCTGGCACTTTATCTGGCATACCATCTGGCATTCTATCTGGCATATCTTCTGGCATTCTATCTGGCATATCTTCTGGCATTTTATCTGGCATATCTTCTGAGTGGATTAACCCTACTTATCCCACTTATAGCTGGGCTTATAATCCACTTGCTAAGTCGCATGAGCCATCAAGTACCATTTCTTCTCCTCTTGTACTGAACATGGACGGCCACTCTGTTCCACTCATTTGTCGTCCTTTTTGAGATGGCCTGGATGCTCATCACCTACAGGATTTCCATCGGTGAAGATGAGTATGTTTGATTGTTGTTTTCTAGGTGTGAAATAGGTCCACATTAGATAGCCCTAAAATTGGGTGATGATAGTTTTCCGGAATCAGCAACTGGATTTTGACACCCCTGGTAATAGCGTTCTGTCACACTGTTGGAATAGCATCCATCCCCCAAAAGGGAGCTTTCACCATGAATGATCTGATCATTGTCCATGGCTTCCCCACAAGTTTTCCACATCTATGCTAACGTACATATAGATAGATATATATATATATATAACTATCTGTATGGGTTTGTCTGAAAAAGACAGGTCCTCCAAATCCAAAGGCTAAATCCCCATAGAAAATCCCATTCAAAACATACAGGCAACTGAATGCCACAAACCTACAATGACTGGGTTTTTTGTGCATGGACCATCCATATTTTTTGCGGTGACTTGGGGTTCACAACCGGGGGGATGGTAAACATGGCAGGGTTCACAAGCCTCTTATTCAATGGGAATTTCAGGATCCTAAAATGGAGGTACGTTAGTACCATATAAGGCCATATTTTCTAAGGATGTTCCCTTACATAGGCCTGAAAAATAGGCCTTGTATATGGTAGGTACCTCCAATTTAGGTTCCTGAAATGGCCATTGACTTATTTCCTGTAGGCTACCCAGAGCATCCTCACTTGAAAAAAATCAAGTGAAATATTGAATTTTTTGCATTTTCAAGTGGCGATTGAAATTTGCAATCGATTGAATTTTTCAAGTGAAAAGTAAAAAAAACGATTGAATTTTCTATTGAAAACTGAGAAATTTCTATTGAATTTTCACTTGAATTTTCACTTGAATTTTCAACTTGAAAAAAAACAATTTTCTATCAATTGTTTGCAATTTTCCAAGCCTGATTGCAGCTGGGCTGGATAGCCCTTGCAGGCTGGATAGCCTCATCTTTTGGCAGTTTCCAAATCATGCTTGCAGCTGGGCTGGGTAGCCTCATCACTATAGGCTGGATAGCCTCATCACTATAGGCTGGATAGCTTCATCACTATAGGCTGGATAGCCTCAAAATTGTGTCTTGGAACTGGCTTCTGCAGGATTTTTTGCCATGTCCAAGAAGCAGAAGGGGGGGGCCAGAAGGACACAAGTTCCTGAGGTGGATGAGGAGCACCTCCTTGACACCTGCCTGAGCCATGTCCAGAAAGCTGGTGTCTCTGCCAGTTTTGCCTTAGGAGCCTACTTCCACACAGAAGCCAGCCATGCTGTGAGAGGAAGTGCCCTGGCAGACCTTCAGCATGTAGTAGAAGATTTGCTGAAAGTGAGCTCCACACTGGAGTTCAAGTACTCAACCCTGAAGAGGGTGTTTGTTGAAGTGCTGAAGCAATTCCCTGGCCTGAAGGACAGGTTCCCTGTCAGCCAACAAGGGAATGCTGCCAAGGCATTTGCAGATGGCATTTTGGTTGTCTGCAACCATGCCAGGAGGATTGGCAGAGATGAGGGCAGACTGGCTGAGGCTTGCTCCAAACTCACAAGTTTCCAAGCTAAAAAGCTGGAAGAGATAGCAGGGTTGCTGAAAAAAGATGAGCAGCCTGCAAAAAGGTTTGGAGAAGATAAGGAAGAAGCCACCCCAGTAAAGAAGAAGAAGAATGAAGAAGAGAAGAAGGGTGTAAGCCCTGGCACAGCAGCACTGTTGGAAGAGTTCCAGATCCCTTCCACTCAAGAGGGGGAATCAGAAGATGAAGGCCTGCTGGCTTCTGCCAGGAAAAGCAAGCCAATCCCTGTGAGGAAAGCTCTGCTGAAAGCTGAAGTAGCCAAGAAAAGGCCTGCTGCATGCAAGAAACCAGCTGCTGCCTGCAAGAAACCAGCTGCTGCCAAGGCCCCTGGAACTGGCAAACTTGGCGATGAGCAGTCAGTGACACAGCCTTTGATCCTCATGCCCTACAAGAAAGTGGGGAGCTGTGCTGTGAGGATCAGAGGGGGCCAGCAGATACTGCAAGTGAAGAGTCACAAGGGCTTGGAGCAGAGCAAGAAGATTGCAGCAGAGCCGAAGAAGATGTTGGAGGATGGCAAGACTTTGGGTGAAGTGAAGGCCTGCAAGGAGAAGAAGTTGCAAAAGTAGGAGGACATGGGAAAAGAAAAAAATGTTTTGGCCTGATGTGTGGGGTACCTGTGTAGTTTAGCCTACAGCTTTTTAGTGGGCTGGGCATCTGGGTGTAGGTATCAGAAAGCATAGGAAAGCCCCCAAAAAAACAATGTTGGCTGGATAATGTTTTTTTTTGTGGACTGGATAGTCCAAAGCATTTTTGTGGGCTGGAAAGCCTAAATAAGGTCTGTTGGCTGGATAGCCCAAATCAATTTTGTGGGCTGGATAGCCCAAATCATTTCTGTGGGCTGAATAGCCAACAATATTTCTGTGGACTGGATAGTCCAAAACATTGCTGTGGGCTGGATAGCCCAAATCATCTGTGGGCTGGATAGCCTACACCATTCTGTGGGCTGGATAGCCCAAAGCATTTCTGTGGGCTGGAAAACCCAAATCATCTGTGGGCTGGATAGCCTACACCATTCTGTGGGCTGGATAGCCCAAAGCATTTTTGTGGGCTGGGTAGCCCAAAAACATTTCTTGAACCAACCATCATGTGTGCCCTCACTAGAAGTGAGGCCCAAAGCTTGGCAAGTAGCAGCCAGCCCAAGGGAGTAGCTGAAGCCATGGACCCTGCTGGGAAGGGCAAGAAGGGTGAGAAGGGCAACAAGGGAGGGTGGACAGAGAACTGGGCAGGAAAAGGAATGCGTCCAGGAGGAGGAGGAGGAGGTGCAGCAGTGTGGAGGCAGAACCTGAGGAGTTTGGCAGAGTTCCACTGTCCAAATATGGAGATTGGACAGTTTCTGTTCCAGCTGGCCCTGTACACCCAGCAGCACACAGGAGTGATGAAGCTGGACTTCGAGTCAACCCGCATGTACCTGATTCGAGTCAAGCAGCAGGTGGCAGAAGGACTGCTGCTGCTGGGCTGAGGGGTTTTGATTTTGGGCTGGATAGCCCTTCACATGTAACCATTATGTGTGGGCTGGAAAGCCATTTTTTTTGTTAGGCTGGATAGCCTTGAGCCAGGAATAACACAAGTAACACACAGAAACTATATTCAACCTTTAATTACTCTTCATTCTGTGGGCTGGAAAGCCTTGAGCCAAAATAACAATCAAAATGAACATATACAATTTTTAAGTTTCACCATTCTTCATTTTTTGGCTGGATAGCCTTGAGCCATTTGTTTAGGCTGGATAGCCTTGAGCCAACAAAAAGCATATATATTGCCCATTGGTCCTGCTGCAGGAATGGCAGACCAGGACTTCTACGAGGTGATGGTGGAGAGGATGCTTGCAGCTATGCTGGGGGAAGCTGCAAGGAGTTTGGGGCATACAATGCCTCCATGGTTGCCCCCTGCCACAGCAGCAGCAGCCCCTGCTGCAGCCCCTCCCCCAGCAGCAGCCACAGGAGGAGCCATGGGAGGAGCCCCTGCCCCAGAAGGAGGAGGAGGAGGAGAAGCATGGCCTAATGCTCCCTGGAACAACCCAGCCCCACATGGAGGAAAAGGGAAGAGTGAGGCTGCAAGTGGGGATGGAGGAGGAAAAGGGAAGAGTGATATTGGAGGATCTGGAGGAGGAAAAGGCAGTGAAGGATCTGCAGCACCTGCAGCCCCACATGCAGGAGGAGGAGGAGGAGGAGGAAAAGGCAAGAGTGAAGGAGATGGATCTGCACTAGCTGGAGGAGGAGGAGGAGGAAAAGGCAACAGTGAGGGAGATGGAGCTGCACCACATGAAGGAGGAGGAGGAAAAGGCAAGAGTGGGGGAGATGGAGCTGCACCAGCTGCAGCCCCACATGGAGGAGGAGGGGGGGGAGGAAAAGGCAAGAGTTGGGGAGATGGAGCTGCACCAGCTGCAGCCCCACATGGAGGAGGAGCTTCATCTTCAGCAGGTGGTGGAGCAGGAGGATGGGATGGAAGCTGGGATGGCTGGAGCGATTGGGGCTGGCAAGGAGGATGGGAAGGCTGGGAAGATGGCAGCTGGCATGGTGGAGCAGGTGGTGGAGCAGGAGGGGGAGTTTGGGAACACCAAGGGCAAGATGTACCATGGGCTCAGTTGGTTGCTATTAATTAATTTTCCATTTTTTCATTGAATTCATGCAAGTTTGTTGTTCTCACAGCATGCATGTTAAGCACAGAATGGCCACATGTGCCCAGGAGCCCCAGAGATCTTGAGGACTGGGAAGGGGGCGACAGAGAATTCTGGGAAGCCCTAGTCTTCATGGATCTGGACTATGTGATGATCCACTGTGACTTTGGCAGCATTTCAATGTGTGGCTGGAGAGCCATTTTTGGGCTGGATAATATGTTTTTGTGGGCTGGATAGCCCATTCTCTTGGGCTGGATAGCCCATTCTCTTGGGCTGGATAGCCCATTTTCTTGGGCTGGATAGCCTTTTTTTGTGCTGAGGCAGGGATTGCCAGAGGATCAGCTATGTCACAAAGAAGAGCTGCCTGAGATCTACTCACTGCCAAGGATGTATGAGAGCCTTGCTTGCAATTAGAGTGTTCTGATTCAAGTGGGCTGGAGAGCCCATTATTCACTATGGGCTGGATAGCCCAATTTTCCCTGACCATCCAAGGAGCTGGATGCACATCCTACAGAGGCAGGATGAAGACTATGGATCTCATTCGCAATGTGAGGAAAGCTGAGCTGTGGGAATTGCTGAGTGAAATTGAAAAGGTCTACAAAGAATAGGAAAGCCCTGGTACAGAAGAATGGCTGGACTGGAAAGTCCAAAAATCAACCCCACAAGAAAATGTTTTGTTGTAAGAATTTGTTTCTGCTATGGTTACCAGATTCAGCCATTTCAATGAGGGCTGGCCTTTACTGGAAGAGACTGGCTGGGCTGGAAAGCCTTAAAAAAATAAGAGATTACATTAGCCTCACCATATCTATGCAAATTGTTCCTCAAAATTGCCAGCCAGTCAAAGGAGGCCATGTACAATATTTTTTAAAGACTCCATGAGCCAGATCTGCGCACTAAAGATTTTGGCAAGAAAAAGTGCTGCTTTGGCCTGATGGGCTGGGAAGGGATTGGGCTGGACAGCCCACTAAATGATTCAAATCCATGGGCTGGAGAGCCCACTAAATATTTCAAATGTATGGGCTGGAGAGCCAACTGAATATTTGAGATCTATGGGCTGGGCAGCCCACTGAATATGTGAAATCTATGGGCTGGAGAGCCAACTGGATATTTGAAATATAGCTACCATATTTTTTGGGATGAACATCTCATAAGTGTAGGCTAGGTAGCCTGCAGAAAAACTGGGCTGGAGAGCCTTGAGGTAAAAAAAAATCTTAAAAAATAAAAAAAATGAAAACACCCATGAACTCACAGGAGCTCACATGAGCTCACATGAGCTCACATGAACACCCATGAACACCCATGAACACCCATGCACCCATGCACCCATGAACACCCATGAACACCCATGAACACCCATGAACACCCATGAATTCACATGAGCACCCATGAATTCATATGAACAACCATGAATTTACCAAAACCATTTTCATTTTGTTTTTTTAAACAAAAAAAACATGATTAACCCCAATTTTCCATTTTTTTAAATATTTATTTATTTTTAATATTAGTTTTTAAGTTTTTCTTATTCACACAAATATGTTCACACAAATATTGTTATTTAATAGTATTTGCTAAAAATGTTCTTTGGGCTGAATAGCCCCTTGAGCCAATTCTATTTTTTCAAACAAAATGTTTCAATCCTTATTTTGTAATTTTGTTTTTGCTAATATTTTCTTTGGGCTGGATAAGCCCTTGAGCCAAATCCAACATAGCTGGAAGCCCCTTTGAGAAGCTGGGCTGGATAGCCCCAGATTGGTTTCATGGCCCTTTGGGCCACAGCCACATCCAAGTGAGCCAAACATTACAGAGCAGCTGCTGGCCCAAAAGCAAAAGAAGCCCAGTAGACCCTAGTGAGCCCAGCCATGAAGAGGCCTGCAGCTTCCTTGCAAAGGCCTGCTTCCAAGCAGGAGGAGCAGGAAGCTGAGCCAGAGGAGCCTGAGCATGTTCCTTTGACTGCTCAGGCAGTCAAAGACCACAACAAGTTTTGTGAGGAGGCTCAAGGCATGAGTGTTGGCCAGTTTGAGAAAGCCTTGTCCTGTCTGGATGGTGCTGCAAGCCAAAGGCTTTGGAAAGCTTTCGAAAAGTCCAGGAAGTCTTCTGGAGAACAGGAGAAATACCTGGAGGCCACCACCAGTGCCAAGGAAGGAAGCTTGGCCAAGAAGAGAAAGCTTCTGTTTGGATGGGTCTGTGATGGCAAAGAGACAGGAGAGCACTACAAGTCCATGGTGGAGACTGTCTCCCTGAAGAAGTCTGAGGGTGTCACCAGCACTTGGCTGACAAAGAACCAGGCACTGCAGCACTGGGGCAAAGAAGAGCTACAAGAAAGAGTGGCCTCTGGAAGTATAGTGGCCAGGAAGGACCCTTCTGACTCCAAGTACTGGCAGTTCAAGGCCAACACTGAGGAGTCTAAGGTGTTTGTGAACAGGGAGAAAGCTGTGTCCTGGGCCAAGAAGGGCAAGAGCAACAACAAGGAGCTGAGCAAACTGCTTCAGACCCAGGGCCTGGAGAAGCTGACCGAGAAAGAGTTCACTGCCCCTACTGACTCTGAGGAGGCCAGCTGGCTTGGCTGAAGCTTTGGGCAACAAGTCTGAGAAGAGCACCCAGGAGAAAAAAGAGAAGAAGGAGAATAAGAAGGACAAGTGGGAGGAGATATCCCAGGTATGTGAAGATGAGAGCCAAAGTCAGCTGCAAAGCAGACTGATGAGCTTCAAGGTGGAGCTGATCAAGGACTTGGCAGTGTTGGATGGCTACACCCATGAGAAGGGCCTGGCAAAGTCCTTGCTCAAGGAGGCTGTGCAGGAACACAAACGAGGGCAAGCTGTTGTGTCCCTGCTGGCCAAGCTGCACAAGAGCAAAGCCAAGAAGAAAGAAGCAAAGCCAGCCCTCCAGACAGCCCTGACAACTCTGAGGGCCTTGAAGGCCAAGAAGCTCCAAGTGGCCAAAGCCTTGAAGGAGTAGGTTTTTGCCTGAGAAGAGGAGGGGTGCCCATCCAAGTGTTAAGCTGTGAAGCACACTGTTTGTAGCTGAGATGATGGGAAGGGCATCCCTTGCCAAAGTCTTGCAATGGCAAGCTGGCAAACAGAACCGCTACCAACAGTTTTTGACAGCAAAAAAGCTTGCCAGCCCTCTGAAAACTGCTGAGCTGGATAGCCCCTGGCCAAGGTTGAACTGGGCTGGACAACCCAAGGTCAAAGTTAAGTTGGGCTGGACAGCCCCTGCCAAGGTTAAGTTGGGCTGGACAGCCCCTGTCAAGGTTTAGTTGGGCTGGACAGCCCAATGTCAAAATTAAGCTGCATTACAGCTTTGGCTCCAAGTTTTAGGAAACATGGAGGAGCCATGTGCTCTCTGGGTACTGCTTCTCAGGAAGTTCAGCATAGGAAAGCTATCTGCCCTAGAAGTGCAGGAGGTCGCTTCAGCTGCAGTGAAGAGTGGTGCTGACAATGCAGAGATGAGAGCCCTGCAAGGATTAGGAGGTATGGGGCATGCAAGAGGAAATGTTCACAGGGACTTGGTGAGAAAATATTTCTCACTGCTGCTGTCCCCAGAGCCATGGGAAATCCAATGCCCCTTGGCTGTGAAGCAAGGGGGGCACAGGATTGAGAAGGAAGCATCTACTCACATGTTGCTGCCCCATCTTTGGGTGATTGAGGCCCAGGAGAACAACTTCTTGGGTAACCTGTGCTGCAAGGATGAGGAGATTGCTGCCTTTTGGAAGAGTCAAATGAAGAGCCCCCAAATGACACCTGAGCTGAAACAAGTGATAAAGACTTCACAGCCAAGCCAGCTCCCAGTACCATACCTCTTGCATGGAGATGCAGCACCCTTCACAGAAGTGGACAGTATCCAAGTCCTGAGCTTCAGGCCTGGTTCTGTGATGGCCTGGGTGTTAGCCTGTTTTGTTTCCAAATTCCTGTGTGTTGGGCTGGATAGCCCATTTTTTTGCCTTGGGCTGGACAGCCCCTGCTGCCATGTCCCTGCCAGGTGCCTGCTCTCCAGCAAAGCAGTGACCCAAAGCCAGATGCTCATCTCTGCCCTGCCAAAGCTGGCCATGACCAAGGAGACCTGCAAGAGGATGATGGAAGTTTTGGCTTGGTCTTGGCAAGTGCTATGGGATGGAGTGGTGCCCAAAAAGGATAAGGCTGGGGACCCCATTGAGAAGCACAGAGGTAAGAGGATGAGAAAGGGGGTGCTGTGGTCAGTGAGTGGAGATTTGGAATGGTTTGCATCAGAATTTGGCTTTCCATATTCTGCAGCCAATATGCTTTGCCCCTTCTGCCTGGCAGATCAATTCAAGGAGGGGAGCCCCAGACCTTTCACAGACTTCAGGGCCACAGCAGCCTGGAGACAGACTACTCTACCTCCAGCCAAACTTCAGAAGAAATTTGCAGGTCACCCACTTTTTAGAGGAGGAGGAGGAGCTCCACATGCATCAGCTTTGAGCATTAAGTTGGATATACTACATGTGCTTGACCTGGGAGTGGCAGCCTATGCCCATGGCTCCTTGCTGTGGAGCATTATGGAAGAGCTGCCAGGAGCAAGCAGAGCTGTGAGGCTAGCCAACTTGAACCAAAAAGTGGTGGAGGCCTATGACAAGGTTGGGCTGGAAGCCCAAAAGAGGATGAAGCACTTGTCTTTGTCAGACCTAGCAGAAACTGCAGAAGAATACCCCTGCCTGAAACATGTCAAAGGAGCAAAAATTCGCTACTTTGCCCCTGCAGCCTTCGAGTTGGCCAAGGAGTGCAATGAGACCAAGAGTGGGAAGCACAGAGAAGCACTGGCTAAGCAGTTGGTGAAAGTGTACAAGATTCTTGGAAGCAGTTGGGAGGATTGGGACTTTGAAGCTTTCAAGAAAGCAGTGGACGACTTCATGGCCCACTACAGCTGGCTGGCAGCCAATGCATTGCATGAAGGCTTGCACCTCTGGAGTTTAGTTCAGAAATCCCATGTTTTGCTTCACCTGGCAGAGCAGAGCAAATTCATGCACCCCTGCCTGAATTGGACATATGGGAGTGAATCCTTCATGGGCTGGACAGTCCAAATCGCCTCCAGCTGCACAAGTGGCACTCCAGCTGAGAAGCTTCCTTTGAAATTCTTGCAAAAATTCAGGCTTGTGTTTCACCTGTACCTGAAAGGGTACATTTCTTTAGATGAAGATGTCGATGATAACAGATGAGCCAAAAAGCAGCCAATGTTAGGCTGGATAGCCTTGCTGCCCTGCAAGATTAGAAGGTTGTAGGCTGGACAGCCTCTGCAGCTGAGCAGAAATTGGAAACTCTTTGGGCTGGACAGCCTGGTGACCTTGCAAAATGTGTGGCCACAGCCTTTTTTGGTTCTGAAAGCTGGGCCTAGAAACAAACAGAGCCCTTGTGCCATGGAAGGCACCCTGCCAAAGAGAAGGAGGGTGAGCTATGTGAAAGGTGAGCTGACAGCCAGCCCAGAGCTTTGGGCTGCAGGGTGGAGACTTGACCCACATGAGAACAGCCAAGTTCTGGTGCCTCCTCCAGGCCTGGAAGAAGATGATGTGCAAGGAGAAAATGATGGGCAAGGAGAAGATGAGAGGCAAGGAGAAAGCACACAAGCTGAAGAAGGGCCCCAGTGTGAAGAAGAAAGCAAAGAACCTGAAGGAAATTAGGTGTGCAAACTAGAGCTGCTGTGGCGTACCAAAGCCAGCTCCAAGGAAAAAAAAGCTGCTTTAGTTGGCTGCACCACCAACACCAGGGCTGGAGAGTTGGGGTGAAAAGCCCCATGAACATGGGCTGGCATAACCTGTGGGCTGGACAGCCCTATCATAACATGGGCTGGACAGCCCCATCATAATATGGGCTGGACAGCCCTATCATAACATGGGCTGGACAGCCACATCATAACATATGGGCTGGACAGACCCATCATAACATGGGCTGAACAGCCCCATCATAACATGGGCTGGACAGCCACATCACATGCAACATGGGCTGGACAGCCCCACCACATACTCACCTCATAATTTTCTTTTGAAAAACAAAATTTTCTATTGAATTTTCATTTCAGTTTCTATTGAAAAAACAAACTTTTCTATTGAAATTTCACTTGAATTTTCTATTGAAAAAACAACATTTTCTATTGAATTTTCACTTGAATTTTGCACTTGAAAAAAAACAAAAAACGATTGAATTTTTGCAGTTTTCAAGTGGCGATTGAAAAAATCAAGTGCGATTGAATTTTTTCAAGTGAGGATGCTCTGGGTAGGCTCGATTTTAGACGACATCACCCCATAGTAGGATCCAAGCGCTGCTGCCTCTGTGTCGTGAGAGAGCTGAAGCAAGAGCCAAAAGACCTCCGCTTGACGCGACAATGAGAGATTTAACCACTGAACATGGAGACAAAGGGGATAAAACTGACCATGAAACATGATGGTATAACGGGGTATGATGATAATGGAAAATGGATATAATGGGATGTGTTTGTATATTAAAAAACGCTATGATCCATGATAACGGAGGATTTGTTCCAGGTAAACTAAGATAGCTATGGAAACATGGCCGATAGAAATGGATGATTTGCCATGATTTGCCTAAAAAATGGTGATTTCCATGGCTATGTTAAAAATTAGGACATAGTGTGTGTGTATATATATATATATAAATACAAATCATTTTGTGGGGGCACAAATGGCAAGTCTAACTGGAAAAATGCTCATTCACCCATGGATGTAAGATCACCCTATCTCAAGACAGACGAAGTTGGAGTTCAACGGCTCAAAAAAAGAAGTGTACATAGGAGATATTGGCAGTGGGATCAAATCTACACTAAAATAATACCAAACTTGAAAACCTGACCCACTGGAGTTAAAATAAGATTTTTGTCTGTCTGCGCAAAAAATCGGATTCATCTAGGCCACTCTGTCCCTGATATCTATGATATTGGAAAAACTTGAGCTGACCCCGGCTGACCCAAGATTTCTTGCGTTATGCCTGATATACTGGTGATACAAGCTGTTAATTTCCAAATGACGCCCCAACAAAAACGGCTCAGTCTGCTGTTAATTCCCTGGTCTTTCAATGTCTCCAACATCGTCAGAAAGTGATGAGGTCCGTCTTCCACTCCAAGTGGAATTTATAGGGCTGCAAAAATGAGACAAAACCCCAAAACACTCATCGGATTACTGTTTTGAGTTTAGATGATTTCAAGGCTGATTATAGATATAAGAAAGGCTGATTATAGATATAAGAAAGAGTAAACCAGGTAAGCCAAACAAAAACTAATGGTTGAACCATTTTTCCCACAGTTGTGGCCCTATAGCCAGTTCTTCTACATGAGATGAGATAACTCCTGCAACTTGTTGGTTATGTATATATATATATAAATCAATATCACTTCCGTGAGGTTATAAAACAACCATTTGTAACTTGTATCATGGATGTTCCCATGATTTTCCTATGAAAAACTGCGAAATGTGTCAGAACTGCGACACCAAGGCGCTACCGCGACAGCACCCACAGACATGGAACTGGTCATGGAGAGCCAACGTTGATCCTCGGGAACGATATGCCATCGGGCAATGGGTGGTTCAAAAATGGGGAATTCATCATGACAAACATATGATTTACTGGGATTTAAGCAGCAAAAATGCTGGTTATATCGGATTTAAGCAGCAAAAATTGTGGTTATATCGGATTTAAGCAGCAAGCCAAAGGCTTTGGAAAGCTTTCGAAAAGTCCAGGAAGTCTTCTGGAGAACAGGAGAAATACCTGGAGGCCACCACCAGTGCCAAGGAAGGAAGCTTGGCCAAGAAGAGAAAGCTTCTGTTTGGATGGGTCTGTGATGGCAAAGAGACAGGAGAGCACTACAAGTCCATGGTGGAGACTGTCTCCCTGAAGAAGTCTGAGGGTGTCACCAGCACTTGGCTGACAAAGAACCAGGCACTGCAGCACTGGGGCAAAGAAGAGCTACAAGAAAGAGTGGCCTCTGGAAGTATAGTGGCCAGGAAGGACCCTTCTGACTCCAAGTACTGGCAGTTCAAGGCCAACACTGAGGAGTCTAAGGTGTTTGTGAACAGGGAGAAAGCTGTGTCCTGGGCCAAGAAGGGCAAGAGCAACAACAAGGAGCTGAGCAAACTGCTTCAGACCCAGGGCCTGGAGAAGCTGACTGAGAAAGAGTTCACTGCCCCTACTGACTCTGAGGAGGCCAGCTGGCTTGGCTGAAGCTTTGGGCAACAAGTCTGAGAAGAGCACCAAGGAGAAAAAAGAGAAGAAGGAGAATAAGAAGGACAAGTGGGAGGAGATATCCCAGGTATGTGAAGATGAGAGCCAAAGTCAGCTGCAAAGCAGACTGATGAGCTTCAAGGTGGAGCTGATCAAGGACTTGGCAGTGTTGGATGGCTACACCCATGAGAAGGGCCTGGCAAAGTCCTTGCTCAAGGAGGCTGTGCAGGAACACAAACGAGGGCAAGCTGTTGTGTCCCTGCTGGCCAAGCTGCACAAGAGCAAAGCCAAGAAGAAAGAAGCAAAGCCAGCCCTCCAGACAGCCCTGACAACTCTGAGGGCCTTGAAGGCCAAGAAGCTCCAAGTGGCCAAAGCCTTGAAGGAGTAGGTTTTTGCCTGAGAAGAGGAGGGGTGCCCATCCAAGTGTTAAGCTGTGAAGCACACTGTTTGTAGCTGAGATGATGGGAAGGGCATCCCTTGCCAAAGTCTTGCAATGGCAAGCTGGCAAACAGAACCGCTACCAACAGTTTTTGACAGCAAAAAAGCTTGCCAGCCCTCTGAAAACTGCTGAGCTGGATAGCCCCTGGCCAAGGTTGAACTGGGCTGGACAACCCAAGGTCAAAGTTAAGTTGGGCTGGACAGCCCCTGCCAAGGTTAAGTTGGGCTGGACAGCCTCTGTCAAGGTTTAGTTGGGCTGGACAGCCCAATGTCAAAATTAAGCTGCATTACAGCTTTGGCTCCAAGTTTTAGGAAACATGGAGGAGCCATGTGCCCTCTGGGTACTGCTTCTCAGGAAGTTCAGCATAGGAAAGCTATCTGCCCTAGAAGTGCAGGAGGTCGCTTCAGCTGCAGTGAAGAGTGGTGCTGACAATGCAGAGATGAGAGCCCTGCAAGGATTAGGAGGTATGGGGCATGCAAGAGGAAATGTTCACAGGGACTTGGTGAGAAAATATTTCTCACTGCTGCTGTCCCCAGAGCCATGGGAAATCCAATGCCCCTTGGCTGTGAAGCAAGGGGGGCACAGGATTGAGAAGGAAGCATCTACTCACATGTTGCTGCCCCATCTTTGGGTGATTGAGGCCCAGGAGAACAACTTCTTGGGTAACCTGTGCTGCAAGGATGAGGAGATTGCTGCCTTTTGGAAGAGTCAAATGAAGAGCCCCCAAATGACACCTGAGCTGAAACAAGTGATAAAGACTTCACAGCCAAGCCAGCTCCCAGTACCATACCTCTTGCATGGAGATGCAGCACCCTTCACAGAAGTGGACAGTATCCAAGTCCTGAGCTTCAGGCCTGGTTCTGTGATGGCCTGGGTGTTAGCCTGTTTTGTTTCCAAATTCCTGTGTGTTGGGCTGGATAGCCCATTTTTTTGCCTTGGGCTGGACAGCCCCTGCTGCCATGTCCCTGCCAGGTGCCTGCTCTCCAGCAAAGCAGTGACCCAAAGCCAGATGCTCATCTCTGCCCTGCCAAAGCTGGCCATGACCAAGGAGACCTGCAAGAGGATGATGGAAGTTTTGGCTTGGTCTTGGCAAGTGCTATGGGATGGAGTGGTGCCCAAAAAGGATAAGGCTGGGGACCCCATTGAGAAGCACAGAGGTAAGAGGATGAGAAAGGGGGTGCTGTGGTCAGTGAGTGGAGATTTGGAATGGTTTGCATCAGAATTTGGCTTTCCATATTCTGCAGCCAATATGCTTTGCCCCTTCTGCCTGGCAGATCAATTCAAGGAGGGGAGCCCCAGACCTTTCACAGACTTCAGGGCCACAGCAGCCTGGAGACAGACTACTCTACCTCCAGCCAAACTTCAGAAGAAATTTGCAGGTCACCCACTTTTTAGAGGAGGAGGAGGAGCTCCACATGCATCAGCTTTGAGCATTAAGTTGGATATACTACATGTGCTTGACCTGGGAGTGGCAGCCTATGCCCATGGCTCCTTGCTGTGGAGCATTATGGAAGAGCTGCCAGGAGCAAGCAGAGCTGTGAGGCTAGCCAACTTGAACCAAAAAGTGGTGGAGGCCTATGACAAGGTTGGGCTGGAAGCCCAAAAGAGGATGAAGCACTTGTCTTTGTCAGACCTAGCAGAAACTGCAGAAGAATACCCCTGCCTGAAACATGTCAAAGGAGCAAAAATTCGCTACTTTGCCCCTGCAGCCTTCGAGTTGGCCAAGGAGTGCAATGAGACCAAGAGTGGGAAGCACAGAGAAGCACTGGCTAAGCAGTTGGTGAAAGTGTACAAGATTCTTGGAAGCAGTTGGGAGGATTGGGACTTTGAAGCTTTCAAGAAAGCAGTGGACGACTTCATGGCCCACTACAGCTGGCTGGCAGCCAATGCATTGCATGAAGGCTTGCACCTCTGGAGTTTAGTTCAGAAATCCCATGTTTTGCTTCACCTGGCAGAGCAGAGCAAATTCATGCACCCCTGCCTGAATTGGACATATGGGAGTGAATCCTTCATGGGCTGGACAGTCCAAATCGCCTCCAGCTGCACAAGTGGCACTCCAGCTGAGAAGCTTCCTTTGAAATTCTTGCAAAAATTCAGGCTTGTGTTTCACCTGTACCTGAAAGGGTACATTTCTTTAGATGAAGATGTCGATGATAACAGATGAGCCAAAAAGCAGCCAATGTTAGGCTGGATAGCCTTGCTGCCCTGCAAGATTAGAAGGTTGTAGGCTGGACAGCCTCTGCAGCTGAGCAGAAATTGGAAACTCTTTGGGCTGGACAGCCTGGTGACCTTGCAAAATGTGTGGCCACAGCCTTTTTTGGTTCTGAAAGCTGGGCCTAGAAACAAACAGAGCCCTTGTGCCATGGAAGGCACCCTGCCAAAGAGAAGGAGGGTGAGCTATGTGAAAGGTGAGCTGACAGCCAGCCCAGAGCTTTGGGCTGCAGGGTGGAGACTTGACCCACATGAGAACAGCCAAGTTCTGGTGCCTCCTCCAGGCCTGGAAGAAGATGATGTGCAAGGAGAAAATGATGGGCAAGGAGAAGATGAGAGGCAAGGAGAAAGCACACAAGCTGAAGAAGGGCCCCAGTGTGAAGAAGAAAGCAAAGAACCTGAAGGAAATTAGGTGTGCAAACTAGAGCTGCTGTGGCGTACCAAAGCCAGCTCCAAGGAAAAAAAAGCTGCTTTAGTTGGCTGCACCACCAACACCAGGGCTGGATAGTTGGGGTGAAAAGCCCCATGAACATGGGCTGGCATAACCTGTGGGCTGGACAGCCCTATCATAACATGGGCTGGACAGCCCCATCATAATATGGGCTGGACAGCCCTATCATAACATGGGCTGGACAGCCCCATCATAACATATGGGCTGGACAGACCCATCATAACATGGGCTGAACAGCCCCATCATAACATGGGCTGGACAGCCACATCACATGCAACATGGGCTGGACAGCCCCACCACATACTCACCTCATAATTTTCTTTTGAAAAACAAAATTTTCTATTGAATTTTCATTTCAGTTTCTCTTGAAAAAACAAACTTTTCTATTGAAATTTCACTTGAATTTTCTATTGAAAAAACAGCATTTTCTATTGAATTTTCACTTGAATTTTGCACTTGAAAAAAAACAAAAAACGATTGAATTTTTGCAGTTTTCAAGTGGCGATTGAAAAAATCAAGTGCGATTGAATTTTTTCAAGTGAGGATGCTCTGGGTAGGCTCGATTTTAGACGACATCACCCCATAGTAGGATCCAAGCGCTGCTGCCTCTGTGTCGTGAGAGAGCTGAAGCAAGAGCCAAAAGACCTCCGCTTGACGCGACAATGAGAGATTTAACCACTGAACATGGAGACAAAGGGGATAAAACTGACCATGAAACATGATGGTATAACGGGGTATGATGATAATGGAAAATGGATATAATGGGATGTGTTTGTATATTAAAAAACGCTATGATCCATGATAACGGAGGATTTGTTCCAGGTAAACTAAGATAGCTATGGAAACATGGCCGATAGATAGCCCCTGGCCAAGGTTGAACTGGGCTGGACAACCCAAGGTCAAAGTTAAGTTGGGCTGGACAGCCCCTGCCAAGGTTAAGTTGGGCTGGACAGCCTCTGTCAAGGTTTAGTTGGGCTGGACAGCCCAATGTCAAAATTAAGCTGCATTACAGCTTTGGCTCCAAGTTTTAGGAAACATGGAGGAGCCATGTGCCCTCTGGGTACTGCTTCTCAGGAAGTTCAGCATAGGAAAGCTATCTGCCCTAGAAGTGCAGGAGGTCGCTTCAGCTGCAGTGAAGAGTGGTGCTGACAATGCAGAGATGAGAGCCCTGCAAGGATTAGGAGGTATGGGGCATGCAAGAGGAAATGTTCACAGGGACTTGGTGAGAAAATATTTCTCACTGCTGCTGTCCCCAGAGCCATGGGAAATCCAATGCCCCTTGGCTGTGAAGCAAGGGGGGCACAGGATTGAGAAGGAAGCATCTACTCACATGTTGCTGCCCCATCTTTGGGTGATTGAGGCCCAGGAGAACAACTTCTTGGGTAACCTGTGCTGCAAGGATGAGGAGATTGCTGCCTTTTGGAAGAGTCAAATGAAGAGCCCCCAAATGACACCTGAGCTGAAACAAGTGATAAAGACTTCACAGCCAAGCCAGCTCCCAGTACCATACCTCTTGCATGGAGATGCAGCACCCTTCACAGAAGTGGACAGTATCCAAGTCCTGAGCTTCAGGCCTGGTTCTGTGATGGCCTGGGTGTTAGCCTGTTTTGTTTCCAAATTCCTGTGTGTTGGGCTGGATAGCCCATTTTTTTGCCTTGGGCTGGACAGCCCCTGCTGCCATGTCCCTGCCAGGTGCCTGCTCTCCAGCAAAGCAGTGACCCAAAGCCAGATGCTCATCTCTGCCCTGCCAAAGCTGGCCATGACCAAGGAGACCTGCAAGAGGATGATGGAAGTTTTGGCTTGGTCTTGGCAAGTGCTATGGGATGGAGTGGTGCCCAAAAAGGATAAGGCTGGGGACCCCATTGAGAAGCACAGAGGTAAGAGGATGAGAAAGGGGGTGCTGTGGTCAGTGAGTGGAGATTTGGAATGGTTTGCATCAGAATTTGGCTTTCCATATTCTGCAGCCAATATGCTTTGCCCCTTCTGCCTGGCAGATCAATTCAAGGAGGGGAGCCCCAGACCTTTCACAGACTTCAGGGCCACAGCAGCCTGGAGACAGACTACTCTACCTCCAGCCAAACTTCAGAAGAAATTTGCAGGTCACCCACTTTTTAGAGGAGGAGGAGGAGCTCCACATGCATCAGCTTTGAGCATTAAGTTGGATATACTACATGTGCTTGACCTGGGAGTGGCAGCCTATGCCCATGGCTCCTTGCTGTGGAGCATTATGGAAGAGCTGCCAGGAGCAAGCAGAGCTGTGAGGCTAGCCAACTTGAACCAAAAAGTGGTGGAGGCCTATGACAAGGTTGGGCTGGAAGCCCAAAAGAGGATGAAGCACTTGTCTTTGTCAGACCTAGCAGAAACTGCAGAAGAATACCCCTGCCTGAAACATGTCAAAGGAGCAAAAATTCGCTACTTTGCCCCTGCAGCCTTCGAGTTGGCCAAGGAGTTCAATGAGACCAAGAGTGGGAAGCACAGAGAAGCACTGGCTAAGCAGTTGGTGAAAGTGTACAAGATTCTTGGAAGCAGTTGGGAGGATTGGGACTTTGAAGCTTTCAAGAAAGCAGTGGACGACTTCATGGCCCACTACAGCTGGCTGGCAGCCAATGCATTGCATGAAGGCTTGCACCTCTGGAGTTTAGTTCAGAAATCCCATGTTTTGCTTCACCTGGCAGAGCAGAGCAAATTCATGCACCCCTGCCTGAATTGGACATATGGGAGTGAATCCTTCATGGGCTGGACAGTCCAAATCGCCTCCAGCTGCACAAGTGGCACTCCAGCTGAGAAGCTTCCTTTGAAAGTCTTGCAAAAATTCAGGCTTGTGTTTCACCTGTACCTGAAAGGGTACATTTCTTTAGATGAAGATGTCGATGATAACAGATGAGCCAAAAAGCAGCCAATGTTAGGCTGGATAGCCTTGCTGCCCTGCAAGATTAGAAGGTTGTAGGCTGGACAGCCTCTGCAGCTGAGCAGAAATTGGAAACTCTTTGGGCTGGACAGCCTGGTGACCTTGCAAAATGTGTGGCCACAGCCTTTTTTGGTTCTGAAAGCTGGGCCTAGAAACAAACAGAGCCCTTGTGCCATGGAAGGCACCCTGCCAAAGAGAAGGAGGGTGAGCTATGTGAAAGGTGAGCTGACAGCCAGCCCAGAGCTTTGGGCTGCAGGGTGGAGACTTGACCCACATGAGAACAGCCAAGTTCTGGTGCCTCCTCCAGGCCTGGAAGAAGATGATGTGCAAGGAGAAAATGATGGGCAAGGATAAGATGAGAGGCAAGGAGAAAGCACACAAGCTGAAGAAGGGCCCCAGTGTGAAGAAGAAAGCAAAGAACCTGAAGGAAATTAGGTGTGCAAACTAGAGCTGCTGTGGCGTACCAAAGCCAGCTCCAAGGAAAAAAAGCTGCTTTAGTTGGCTGCACCACCAACACCAGGGCTGGAGAGTTGGGGTGAAAAGCCCCATGAACATGGGCTGGCATAACCTGTGGGCTGGACAGCCCTATCATAACATGGGCTGGACAGCCCCATCATAATATGGGCTGGACAGCCCTATCATAACATGGGCTGGACAGCCACATCATAACATATGGACTGGACAGACCCATCATAACATGGGCTGAACAGCCCCATCATAACATGGGCTGGACAGCCACATCACATGCAACATGGGCTGGACAGCCCCACCACATACTCACCTCATAATTTTCTTTTGAAAAACAAAATTTTCTATTGAATTTTCATTTCAGTTTCTATTGAAAAAACAAACTTTTCTATTGAAATTTCACTTGAATTTTCTATTGAAAAAACAACATTTTCTATTGAATTTTCACTTGAATTTTGCACTTGAAAAAAAACAAAAAACGATTGAATTTTTGCAGTTTTCAAGTGGCGATTGAAAAAATCAAGTGCGATTGAATTTTTTCAAGTGAGGATGCTCTGGGTAGGCTCGATTTTAGACGACATCACCCCATAGTAGGATCCAAGCGCTGCTGCCTCTGTGTCGTGAGAGAGCTGAAGCAAGAGCCAAAAGACCTCCGCTTGACGCGACAATGAGAGATTTAACCACTGAACATGGAGACAAAGGGGATAAAACTGACCATGAAACATGATGGTATAACGGGGTATGATGATAATGGAAAATGGATATAATGGGATGTGTTTGTATATTAAAAAACGCTATGATCCATGATAACGGAGGATTTGTTCCAGGTAAACTAAGATAGCTATGGAAACATGGCCGATAGAAATGGATGATTTGCCATGATTTGCCTAAAAAATGGTGATTTCCATGGCTATGTTAAAAATTAGGACATAGTGTGTGTGTGTATATATATATAAATACAAATCATTTTGTGGGGGCACAAATGGCAAGTCTAACTGGAAAAATGCTCATTCACCCATGGATGTAAGATCACCCTATCTCAAGACAGACGAAGTTGGAGTTCAACGGCTCAAAAAAAGAAGTGTACATAGGAGATATTGGCAGTGGGATCAAATCTACACTAAAATAATACCAAACTTGAAAACCTGACCCACTGGAGTTAAAATAAGATTTTTGTCTGTCTGCGCAAAAAATCGGATTCATCTAGGCCACTCTGTCCCTGATATCTATGATATTGGAAAAACTTGAGCTGACCCCGGCTGACCCAAGATTTCTTGCGTTATGCCTGATATACTGGTGATACAAGCTGTTAATTTCCAAATGACGCCCCAACAAAAACGGCTCAGTCTGCTGTTAATTCCCTGGTCTTTCAATGTCTCCAACATCGTCAGAAAGTGATGAGGTCCGTCTTCCACTCCAAGTGGAATTTATAGGGCTGCAAAAATGAGACAAAACCCCAAAACACTCATCGGATTACTGTTTTGAGTTTAGATGATTTCAAGGCTGATTATAGATATAAGAAAGGCTGATTATAGATATAAGAAAGAGTAAACCAGGTAAGCCAAACAAAAACTAATGGTTGAAC